GGCTCACGCCCAGCCCCTCGCCTGGGCGCGGGATCTGGGCCCCCCGCTCTTACTGCCCCCAGGAGGAGGGTCCGGCCGGCCGGCGGGCAGCACCCGGGCCTGCTCCCCAGGGCGCTCCTGCTGCCCTCCCAGCGCCTGGCCCCTTTCCAGGCCTGCCGGCCGCTGCCCTCCACACCTTGCTGGGCCACGCTCTGCCTGGCGACCCTTCTCAGGAGCCCCCCATTCCTGCGGGCCCCCGGGAGACTCCCTGCTTCCTCTCAGCCACCTGCTCCTGGCCGCGCCCTCCCGCCTGCGTCTGCGGTGGAGCCTGGGCCCCCACATATCTGACAGCACCCCCCGAAGTCTTCGACACACGGCCACCGATGGTTCTGATTCTTTCGCTCGTGATCCCGCCGCACCCCCGTGCTCCGCCCCCACACCCAGTGGCCCTGCGGCCGGACCCTGGGTGCCCCGGAGGCATGTGGGGGCGCCAGGTGCGGGTGGACGGGGTCACTCTGCCCGGCCCATTTCGGGAGCGCTGTAGCCCTGGATGACCGCCTGGCTCCCCTGTGCAGCCCCAGGGCGGGGAGACCCCGCAGGGCCCTTGTGGGGGGGCTCCAGCAGGCTCAGGACTTTTGCCCCCCACCCGAGCCACCAGCGGGCACCCCGCACGCTGCGGTCGCTGCTCGGGGGCCTTCCCGGTGGCCCAGACAGGCTGGGGCCCCCCCAGCCGGCACCCCAGCCCCTCCCCCATGGCCCTTGCCGCCAAGCCAGGGTCTCAGAGGCCCCGCGCCCCGTGAGGGGGGCCTGGGTTCCCCTCCCGCGTGTCTGAGCCTGGCGCTCCTGTGGGGAGCTGAAGGCCCCGGCAACGGGCGGGGGGCGGGGGGTGCCTCCTGCCTGAATGTGGCGCTCGGGTTGAGGGCCCCCGGGGGCCCCCGGGGGCCCCTGGCGGGGCGCCGCCCCCGCGAGGCCTCCTGGCCTTCCAGGGTATTCCTCCTCCCCCCACACCTCTTCCTAATCTTTCACAGAAAAAGAGGGTGAAAAAGGCAGAAGAAAGAGGTTTTCTCCTCCACTTTCTGGAAATGAGATTTTAAAAATAACTCGGAGGCAGCGGCAGCGCTCGGAGGGGATTATCGGGGAGCGCGGTGGCGCCCCGTGAGTCCGGCGGCCTCAGCCTCCGCGCCCCTCCCCGCAGGGGCTGCCTGCTCTCCCGCCTCCCCACCCCCCTAGTTTCTCCGGCTGGGGGGGCAGGGAGGGGCAACCACAGAGTGGGGTGCCCGTGAC